CATATAGTTCTGTATACTCTCGTGCTGTCACGTACCCGTGTTTGACTATAAATTCCGTGCACCATTTTTTATAGGGTATGTGTATTAAATAAGATTTGTAAGTAAATGTAATTTGACTTAGAATTTGTATAATTAAATTCCTATAGTTAAATAAATATATCAATTATTTGTTCAAGAAATCTCATGATCTCACAATTCTGTTATACTTGTACAAAGATTGAAGTTTAAAAAGCGACTACATAACCGATTTCGGTGATGATACCAGATGTACTGGCAGGAGTCATCGGCCGAGTTTTTAATTTGAATAAACATATATAAACTGAAGAGTCCCAATAAGGACGAAATCGATCTTAGATTGCAAGCTTAGTTAGTAACCCTAACCCTAAAAACAACAAAAACAACAACTTATATTTTAAAAAATCGTTTATAAAACTACCTTTAGCAAAATGGAAGATATTCAATTCAATTCTCAAGCTTCCGGCTCTGCCTCTGCCTCTGCCAACTAAAAAGGCAAGCAAGCGGCAATTGCTAAAAACTTCACTGGGGCAATAAACGCTGACTCTAAAGCGTTGCCAGTTCTTGCTGTGTATAAGCAAAAGTTTGTTTCTATAACTCGTGCACTTAGCTCTGCTTCGGCTAAATTAGCCGGAGCTACAAGTCTTGTGTCAGGTAGTATGCATGACTTAAAAGTTAAGATACCAGCAAACTTGTCAGTAGGCGACAAACTTGCAATTGACGCCTTAGTCCATGAAAAGCTTCTTGGACACTATGTCACCAGCACAACCGCTAAGGTTAAAGCGCTAAAAGAAGCAAGAAATGCTTTAATTCCAGCTTTCAAATTGGAACTGGATAATGCGCATACTCGTTTGCTTACAGAAAAGAACGAAGGTGCTACTGCCGAAACTATAGAATACTGGAAGAAAATTGGTGACGAAATCGTCACTTATAATGACCAGGAGTTTCGTAGGTTTGCCGACGCTTTTCAAGCTAAATTAGCTCTAGGAGATACCCCCTCCATGGTAAGTCAAGATTTGAGTAATATTGTAGAATCTCCTCCTACTATTACATCTTTATATGAATCTGACACGGAGTCTTTGGAAATTATAGAACCAAGCTCCGTCAAGCAAAAAGAGAAAAAAAGTCAAAGAAGACGGCAAAGGCAAAAAAAGACCTTCAAAAAGGTCGAAAAACAAAAAAGCCTCTCCGAACCAACAACCACCCCCGCAACGTCCCAAAGGCCCCAAGCAAAAAGGCAAAGGACCCCAAAAGACGTAAGTGTGAATAATATATCTTCCTTGAAGTATTTACCAATGTATGTTTGGAAAAGTTTGGACCGTGGTGCTAAATTTCAACTTACAAAATACTGTACTTATCAGCAATGCCAAAAAGACTGGCAAGAAACCAAAGTCCACATCGAAAAAGAACTAGCAAGGCTAAGGTCTAAGGATGTGTCGGCGTTTTTTGTTAATAGAGATGTTTTAGATATTTCATTTAATGTAATTAAATCCCAATTATTTAATAAAGAGATATTTAAACGTAATCGTTTTCATAAGTCTAAGTTTGGTATTAATAAAGATTTGGAGCGAAGCTTCAAATATTTGGTTTGGAATGATTTAGTAGTACTATGTGCGGATAAAAATATGGGTCTTACTATTATGGATTATGAATGGTATAATTACGAAGTTCATAAACATCTTAGTAACTCAAACGTATATAGAAAAATGCAAGATACTTGGACACTTGACAGTGCCGAAGTATATAGTGAACTTTATCAGGATATAAAGAAATGTCCTAATCAAAATCTTGTAGAAATGGCAATGGATAAATTTTTGAATAACGAACCAGAACAAGAATTTCCTCCTCCCCTATTCTACATTATCCCTAAACTTCACAAAAATCCTATCTCTAGTAGACCGATAACACCTAGTCACTCTTGGATTACTAGTACGGTCTCTAAGTATTTGTCGGACAATTGGTCTACACATTTACTAAGATTGGAATATATCTTGCCAAATTCAATTAAACTAATAAAAGATTTAGAAAAATTGAATAATAGTCAGCATTTGCCACTTACTGCTAATTTGTATACATGGGATGTAAAGAGTATGTATACAAACATAGACCTTTGGAATCTGCGCCTTCGTATAAAAAATTTATTAAAATATTTGAGAGTGCCGGATTATCTTTCTGATTTTCAAGTAGAACTACTTGAATGGGTCTGTGAAAATTCCTATGTCATGTACCAAAATAAATGGTACAAGCAAATAACAGGTTTAGCTATGGGTAGTGCCGTAGCACCTGTTGCTGCTAATATGTATATGGCACAGGTATTAATAGAATCTTTTGGAGAACCAGGTAATAATTCTTGGCCATCTATCATAATGATTAGGTCATATATAGATGATCTTTTCGCTGTTATGACTGATGAGTTTCCTCTTGATTTTATTGGACATAAGATTAGTAATGTCGCTTCTCCATCTAAATTTGAACTAGAAGGCGTCATGGGTAATAAAGTATCATTTCTAGACTTAGAATTAGAAATGTGCATAAAATTATCAT